TTTAAGAATATGCATTACATATTAAAAGTTTCAATTTAATCTAAACTCTTGATTTAATGATTTTAATAATCATTGCAAAATATTTAACTACATATGTATTTTCATCTTTTAATTTCGAAAACAATGCCCATTGTAATGTTAACAATGTTTCATATTGAAAGTTTTAATTTAATCTAAGATTTTGTCAAGTACTTCTATTTATTTGAATGCATGAGCTGGATAAGTACTTAACAAATTTTGCCATTAACCAATTTCAATACAAAAGTACACTTGTAAGAATAGTTATCTTGGCTATAAGTACATAAGTATTTCTGTGTGTAAATGAACGTACATACATATGCAAATACCTACATATGTGTTCGGAAACTACCCAGTAATTTCAGAAGAAGGTCTAACTACTTGCTCGAATTTATATGTTTTTGGATCATAGACTAAACTATAGATTACATCATAGACTAGACTATAGACAAAATCATAGAATAAACTATAGACTAGACTATAGACTAGACTATAGACTAGACTATAGACTAGACTATAGACTAGAATATAGACTAGACTATAGACTATACTATAGACTAGACTATAGACTAGAATATAGACTAGACTATAGACTAGACTATAGACTAGACTATAGACTAGACTATAGACTAGACTATAGACTAGACTATAGACTAGACTATAGACTAGACTATAGACTAGACTATAGACTAGACTATAGACTAGACTATAGACTAGACTATAGACTAGACTATAGACTAGACTATAGACTAGACTATAGACTAGACTATAGACTAGACTATAGACTAGACTATAGACTAGACTATAGACTAGACTATAGACTAGACTATAGACTAGACTATAGACTAGACTATAGACTAGACTATAGACTAGACTATAGACTAGACTATAGACTAGACTATAGACTAGACTATAGACTAGACTATAGACTAGACTATAGACTAGACTATAGACTAGACTATAGACTAGACTATAGACTAGACTATAGACTAGACTATAGACTAGACTATAGACTAGACTATAGACTAGACTATAGACTAGACTATAGACTAGACTATAGACTAGACTATAGACTAGACTATAGACTAGACTATAGCAGACTATAGACTAGACTATAGACTAGCACTATAAGCTAGACTATAGACTAGACTATAGACTAGACTTTAGACAAGACTATAGACTAGACTATAGACTAGACTATAGACTAGACTATAGACCAGACTATAGACTAGACTATAGACTAGACTATAGCTAGACTATAGACTAGACTATAGACTAGACTATAGACTAGACTATAGACTAGACTATAGACTAGACTATAGACTAGACTATAGACTAGACTATAGACTAGACTATAGACTAGACTATAGACTAGACTATATACTAGACTATAGACTAGACTATAGACTAGACTATAGACTAGACTATAGACTAGACTATAGACTAACTATAGATCTAGACTATAGACTAGACTATAGACTAGACTATAGACTAGACTATAGACTAGACTATAGACTAGACTATAGACTAGACTATAGACTAGACTATAGACTAGACTATAGACTAGACTATAGACTAGACTATAGACTAGACTATAGACTAGACTATAGACTAGACTATAGACTAGACTATAGACTAGACTATAGACTAGACTATAGACTAGACTATAGACTAGACTATAGACTAGACTATAGACTAGACTATAGACTAGACTATAGACTAGACTATAGACTAGACTATAGACTAGACTATAGACTAGACTATAGACTAGACTATAGACTAGACTATAGACTAGACTATAGACTAGACTATAGACTAGACTATAGACTAGACTATAGACTAGACTATAGACTAGACTATAGACTAGACTATAGACTAGACTATAGACTAGACTATAGACTAGACTATAGACTAGACTATAGACTAGACTATAGACTAGACTATAGACTAGACTATAGACTAGACTATAGACTAGACTATAGACTAGACTATAGACTAGACTATAGACTAGACTATAGACTAGACTATAGACTAGACTATAGACTAGACTATAGACTAGACTATAGACTAGACTATAGACTAGACTATAGACTAGACTATAGACTAGACTATAGACTAGACTATAGACTAGACTAGACTAGACTAGAGTAGACTAGCCTAGTCTATAGTCTAGTCTATAGTCTACCCCGAACTCCTGGGTATTTCAACATAGTTGTGTATTTCTGCTAACAATGAATTCAACAATTGTCAATCGCAAACATGTAGTGTGTATTACGTTCGATATGTAAGTGAGTATGTGTGGGTGTGTGTGTACATTGTACTATTATTTGAAATAGTAATTGGATTTAGAGTTGATGTTTTGTATCAGAATTATTGAATTGGTTTTTCAATTGTATTGACTACTTGCAAGGATGTTTTAGATTCTAGAGATTTTAAACTATGGATGAATGGGCTATTCACAGGATGTATTTTATAAAAGTTTTAATTTAATTATATTTATTTTCTTTCAATTTGTAAATCTATTTATTTAATATATACTACTCTACTCATCTTTTATGGCTTCCCCAACTCTCCAAGGTTTTTCTATTGTTTTTCTAATAATTTTTGAAAACATTGCCTAAAGGTAATTAAATTTTTGCATAATATAATTATGATATTTATGTTTATTTCCATATGTCAATTGTAAGTTATAATTAATGTCTATAGTTTTGTGACCTTTTGCATATAAATTGATTTATAAATATTTATATGAAAAACAAACCACAAGTTTATATTAATCACACTTCCTTTCTACTTCCCCGTTATTAGTTGAACAAAGATCAAAGTCGTGGCACACAAACACCTTAAGGTTATTAAATATTCAAATTCAAAATTGTCATAATTAAACAGACAGACAACTAAATGCAAACATACACACACATATGTACATAATCAAGACAAACATAACAAATCTGTTATGTAAATACATATTAGCACATTTCCTAATGAGCAATTGCATGTGTGTGTATGTGTAAATGTATTTAATGACATAACTCCTTACTAAGAAGCTCTTAAGTATTTATATCAATGTTAACTTGTAATAAATATTTATGCAACTTCCATAATGTAAATAAACTAGAAAGTTTATTTGTAAAGGTGTATACGTTTGTGTGCATTTCAATGTCCTCAAGGATGTGACCCTTACACTATAACTATTATGTGTAAACACAAATAAGCCTTATTTATACATAATAATGTGCATGTATGGGGTACTTGTAGAAAAAAGGAATTTTCTCAAAAGTTTATGATTTAATTAAAGAATAATGATAGCAAAGCCCTTTATGGAATATGTAAGAAAGTTAGTAAGTTAGAAATTGAGAATAACTTAGAAGCTTAGTAAATATGTAAGACAGTAGTAAGTTAGTAAGCTAGTAAGTTAGTAAGTTAGTAAATTAGTAAGTTAGTAAGTTAGTAAGTTAGTAAGTTAGTAAGTTAGTAGGTTAGTAAGTTAGTAAGTTAGTAAGTTAGAAAGTTAGTAAGTTAGTATGTTAGTAAGTTAGTAACTTAGTAGCTTAGTGAGTTAGTAAGATAATAAGTAAGTAAGTTAGTAAGTTAATAAGTTAATAAGTTAATAAGTTAATAAGTTAATAAGTTAATAAGTTAATAAGTTAATAAGTTAATAAGTTAATAAGTTAATAAGTTAATAAGTTAATAAGTTAATAAGTTAATAAGTTAATAAGTTAATAAGTTAATAAGTTAATAAGTTAATAAGTTAATAAGTTAATAAGTTAATAAGTTAATAAGTTAATAAGCTAATAAGTTAATAAGTTAATAAGTTAATAAGTTAATAAGTTAATAAGTTAATAAGTTAATAAGTTAATAAGTTAATAAGTTAATAAGTTAATAAGTTAATAAGTTAATAAGTTAATAAGTTAATAAGTTAATAAGTTAATAAGTTAATAAGTTAATAAGTTAATAAGTTAATAAGTTAATAAGTTAATAAGTTAATAAGTTAATAAGTTAATAAGTTAATAAGTTAATAAGTTAATAAGTTAATAAGTTAATAAGTTAATAAGTTAATAAGTTAATAAGTTAATAAGTTAATAAGTTAATAAGTTAATAAGTTAATAAGTTAATAAGTTAATAAGTTAATAAGTTAATAAGTTGTTAATAAGTTAATAAGTTAATAAGTTAATAAGTTAATAAGTTAATAGTTAATAAGTTAGTAAGTTAGTAAGTTAATTAGTAAGTTAGTAAGTTAGTAAATTAGTAAGCTAGTAAGCTTGTAAGTTAGTAAGTCAGTAAGTTAGCAAGTTAGCAAGTTAGTAAGTTAGTAAGTTAGTAAGTTAGTAAGTTAGTAAGTTAGTTAGTTAGTAAGTTAATAAGATAGAAAGTTAGTAAGTTAGAAAGTTAGTATGTTAGTAAGTTAGTAACTTAGTAGCTTAGTGAGTAGTAAGATAATAAGTAAGTAAGTTATTAAGTTAATAAGTTAGTAAGTTAGTAAGATAATAAGTTTGTAAGTATGTTAGTAAGTTAGTTAAATTAGTAAGTTAGTAAGTTAGTAAGTTAGTAAGTTAGTAAGTTAGTAAGTTAGTAAGTTAGTAAGTTAGTAAGTTAGTAAGTTAGTAAGTTAGTAAGTTAGTAATTAGTAAGTTAGTAAGTTAGTAAGTTAGTAAGTTAGTAAGTTAGTAAGTTAGTAAGTTAGTAATTAGTAAGTTAGTAAGTTAAGTTAGTAAGTTTATAAGTTAGTAAGTCAGTAAGTTAGTAAGTTTTTAAGCTTGTAAGTTACTTGTTTTTAGCAAATAAACGCACTGACATACAGACGGACCCCGCTAAATCGACTTCGCATTGTGGAAATTACAAATGAAATGACAAACGTATATTTATGTATACAAATTAAATGATTTAGTAAAAGATATCTTAAGAGTATTTTAACATTTCTTTATTTCTAATTTCTTTTTAGACATGATAACCTATAGGCAATTTTTAAACTGTTTATAATTGATAATTTTTCTTTATATTATTGTTAATTCTGCAATTTCTAAATTTATACATATTTAAAGATAATAAAAAAAATTCAGTTTTTAACAATTAAAATTTGTCTCTGATTACCCAGAATCAATGATTACCACATATTATCTCTAATAAACTCTACATGTATTCCACCCCTAGTCTGTAGAACAATACTTTTGGGTTCAAATTTCGGTTGTATTATAGTCTGAGCACATACTCGCACACGATAATATTTTAGGATGTGCACCAAACCAACTTTAACTTCTAACAAACCCAAACGGGCACCAATGCAATTATGAGGACCATCTCCAAATGGTAAATAAGTCAAAGGAGTTAAAAGTTTCTTATTTACGGGACTAAAACGTTCTGGATCGAATTTGTAGGGAAATGGCCAAAACTTGAAAATAAACTAAAATTCTTAAAATTTTTTCTACAAGTTTTTTTAAAATACTTATTCATACCTTGGGATCATAATGCAAACCAAATACCGATATATAAACCGGCATGCCTTCGGGTAATTTGTAGTCATAATGTGGTGCTAAAGAGAACTCTTCTGATCTATTCACAGATTTGGAATATCTACGATCCAATAGCGGCAGCACCGGATACAATCTTAATGTTTCGTCTATAACCATTTGTAAATATTCCATTTTATTAAGTGAGTCATAAGACATTTCACCCTCATCTCTGGCAAGTGTTTGCACGATTTCTTTTCTCAATTTCTGTTGAACTTCTTGATTTTTAGCCATTTCGAATAGAGCATTTGCCATGGTAGTGGCAGAAGTTTCAAAACCTGCACTCATGAATATAGAAGCCTGGGCAATTAAACTCTCCATACATTGATGCTCATCTTCGCCTTTCCATCGTGTTTCTTGTTTAATTTTAATAAATGCATCTATAAGATCATTACGTATAGCACCCGAGCGTTCCCTTTCCTCTATTACACATTTTATACTAGAGCGCATAAACTTTTCAGTGGATTGATAAAATATTCTGGGTCTTAGAATTCTATTTAGTTTGGGAGCAAAAAAGGCTATTAAGAAATCAACAGCTCTTTTGACATTAAAGGCCGACAATTTAAATGCCTCCTGGTATATGTATTCTTGCTTATTACCCAAAGCATTAGAATTGAAACCCATTATAGTGGTCGATATAACATCTGTGGTATAGCGACCACATAACTGTTTCAATTCTAACGTAAATTGGTTTCCATTTTGCTTGAGATGCTCCTCCAGTTTAACACCCACCTTTTGCAAGAGAGGATACATTAACTTTAATTTCCCACTAGTGAATACCGGGCTCAATTTCACACGCATTTCTCTCCAGTGAGGATATGCGCTAAAGAACAAGTTCAAAGCCCCCAAAGGATCATGCTGCAGATCACCTCTGCACGTACGGCTATTGAAACAGTCAAAGTCCTTTATTAATATAGATTTTATTATATCAGGTTCCCTTATTAGCAGGCCTGGTTCATAGAGCCCATATATGCCCACAACTGCTTCATTGCGATATTTTTCATTCGCATACAATGCTCTCAAATGATAACCGAAATTAGTTTTAAACGTTAAAAAATCCAAGAAATTTCCACTGAATATTCTACCTTTAACACTGGCGATCTGAGGATATCGCTTCCAATAATTAAAATTTATTTTAAATAAATATACAAAATACTCAGTAAAATAATAAAAATTAATAAAATTATTGTCAGCAACATTTTAAGATCAGAATTGATTGTTCTCTTTGATGGGCAAATTATACTGATGCAATGGTAAATAATTTAAATAATTAATGCATTGTTTATTATTCTGCAACTGTTTAAATTGTATGTTATCATTCTACACCATTTCTTAGTGAAATCTATTCAACATATATATATCAATAAATATTCTATACATTTAAGATAATTCTAAATTTTAAGTTTGTTTAAAAGGACGACTGGAACATTTAGAAACTAACTTACTAGCTTATTAACTTACTAATTTACTAAAGTACTAACTTACTACTAACTTGATAACTTATTAACTTACAAACTTACTAACATACTAACTTACACACTTACTAACTTATTAACTTAGTAACTTACTAACTTACTAACTTAGAAGGCGAACTTACTAACTTACGTACTTACTTACTACTTACTAACTTACTAACTTACGTACTAACTTACTAACTTACTAACTTACTTACTACCTAACTTACTATCTTACTAATTACTAATTTACTAACATACAACTTACTAACCTTACTACTAACTTGCTAACTTGCTAAACTTGCTAACTTACTAACTTACTAACTTACTAACCATAACTAACTTACTATCTTACTAACTTACTAATTTACTAACATACAACTTAATAACGTTCTACTAACTTTCTAACGTATTACTTACTAACTTTCTACTTATTAATTACTAACTTACTACTAACTTACTAACTTATTAACTAACTAACTTACTACACTTACTAATTTACTATCTTATTAACTTACTAACATACAAACTTACTACCTTACTACTAACTTGCTAACTTACTACTATCTTGCTTACTTACTAACTTACTAACTTACTACTGACTAACATACTAACTTACTAACTTACTAACTTACTACACTTACTAACTTACTAACTTACTAACTACTAACTTACTAACTTACTAACTTACTAACTTACTAACTAACTTACTAACTTACTAACTTACTAACTTACTAACTTACTAACTTACTGACTTACTAACTTACTAAATTACTAACTTTGAAAACTCAGTCCATGTTAGTCGGGTTATTCTTGTATAATTGTGTCTTATAACGACCACACACAATTGATTTAGTAAAACTTTGTTAACTTTAATAAACAGTTAACTTTGCTCTATAGATTTGTAAACAAGTAAACCTAAATTACATACATACAAATTAATGAAGATTACACAAATTTATCAGGGTTGCTATTTTGAAGTTTCTAATTTAGTAGTGGTCCAGCTACTATACATTCTTACTATTTTAGACTTATTCCTAGATAATACAAGATAAGAAATTTTTGTGAAAAATACTGGCAATTTTCATGCAAAACGCAGCTCTGGTAATAATAAAAAGAAAAACAGGTAGAGAGAGCAATTAATTGTAACACACAGTGCCAATGAGTGATTTACAATTTAATATTGCAGACATATTACGTATACGCAACAAACCTCTAATAATCAGGGTCATTGCTGTTCTTTCTTCCTGTTTTTTCTTCTTTCTTCCAGATTTGAGAATTTATAATTAGAGCAAAATTCAACAATACTATGCATTTTAATTGAAAATATTTTGAAGTGTCTTTAGTTGCTTTGTTACATAAATTTTAAGAGCGATAAAGTATTTTATAAGCACCGCCCTCAACGATTCTTATAATAAGGCTGAATAAGTACTCTACTTTTTTTTAACTTAGTTTATATTACGTTCTAACTCAATTCTTAAATCATCCCCATAGAATTGTTAGTTGTTTTAGCGCCGTAAATAAGATTTAAACATTTCATGTCTGTATGAAGGAAGCACTTTAAGGTATATGCTAAAATTTAAAGGGATTTCTTAAGCTATAATTTCTACGAATTCCTTTTAAAGCCTTAATACCTTTATTTTTTCCACATTCTCTTTAAGCTTCCTGTTTCATCATTAATTTTATACATTTCTGCAAATATGTATGTATGTGTTTCACAAGAAAATTTATTTAAATCTAAATAACATTTTGTTTTATTCTGTTTTGCCTTAAATTCGAATTTTTATGTTTTTATTGTTATTTACATATATATATTTCTTTAGTCGTTGTATATTTTAGTCTTCTATTTCCGTTTGTGCTTTTTTTCCTACTTTTTCTTTTACTTCCGTCATTTTGGTATATTTTTGTGTGTCTGGTTTAGTTTATTGTATTATTATATATATTTTACATATTTATTTGCTTATTTAGTACGTGCTACTTTTTTTTGTATATTTTTGTGTGTATTTTCTTATTTTTTCGAGGGAGTTTCACCTGGGGATTTAAATGGGTGTGAGTATTGAGGTTTTTACCTGTGAAAGTGTGCAACCAAAATTAAAGTTTAGTTTTGTTGAAGTTAAGTTTCCTAAACTATATAAGATATCGTAACACAATATCATATCGTCAGATCGAAGCTGCTTTCGACTTGATTTGTGTCTTTGTAGAAAGAATGGGGACGCAGCTTCGATTCCCACAAATGACTCCGTGCAATTCACTGGAGTATACGGACAAGCTGGTATCCTCTCTAGCGAGAGCGAGCTAGAGATACAAGAGCGACGATCCTAGCAGCTAGCGAGCGATAGCGAGCGAAGCGCGAGCGAGCGAGCTAGCGAGCGAGCTAGCGACGAGCGAGCTACTAGCTATCGCGAGCGAGCGAGCGTCGAGCAGCGAGCGAGCGACGAGCGAGCATCGAGCCTAGCGAGCAGCGAGGAGCGAGCGATCGAGCGAGCGAGCGAAGCGAGCGAGCGATCGACGAGAGCGAGCGCGAGCGAGCGAGCGAGCGAGCGAGCGAGCGAGCAGCGAGCGAGCGAGCGAGCGAGCAGCGAGGAGCGAGCGAGCGAGCGAGCGAGCGAGCGAGCGAGCGAGCGAGCGAGCGAGCGAGCGAGCGAGCGAGCGAGCGAGCGAGCAGCGAGCGAGCGAGAGAGCGACGAGCGAGCGAGCGAGCGAGCGAGCGAGCGAGCGAGCGAGCGAGCGAGCGAGCGAGCGAGCGAGCGAGCGAGCGAGCGAGCGAGCGAGCGAGCGAGCGAGCGAGCGAGCGAGCGAGCAGCTAGCGAGCGAGCGAGAGCGAGCGAGCGAGCGAGCATCGAGCTAGCGAGCGAGCGGCGAGCTAGCGATCGATCGAGCTAGCTAGCGAACGAGCGATCTATTATCTATATCTATCGATCTATCTATCTATATCTATCGATCTATCTATCTATCTATATCTATAGTTATTAAAAATATTACTGCTTCAGTACTTTAAGTAAAATTTTAATTAATTTATTTTAATCCTTTGTATTATTTTAAAAAAATAAATTCATTAAATTATTCTGTTTCTATTTTCTATTGCCTCTAAAGACGTTAGTAACATGAATAGCTAATTAGATACAATACTTCTTGACACACACAGGGACACTGCGACATTAGCATAAGTACTTTAAAACAATGAGTCCACAAAGAAATTCCAGTGTCAGTTGATAAGAGGACAAGTATGTCAGCCCAAGTGTTTTTTCAACTTTTTTTTTATTAAATGTCACTTCAAAACCAAAACATTTTTGTAAGTATTTTGGACATTTTGAAATAAAATTAAAAAAATTTTAAAGATTTTATTGTAGAATATTTGGAACAATTTCGAACACTAAAAAACAGTTCTCTAGAAGGGAATTATTTGAAGAGTTATTATAAATTTAAATTATTCGTAAAATGTTTATTATTATTTTTAAATTGTATTATATTTTTCAATCTTTTGGTAGGACTTAGTTAGCTCTCATATTTTGAATGCATTTTCAGCTGTTTTTTTATATAATTTTATTTTATATCACAAAAAATAAGTAGAATAGAATCATAAGAATACGTTTAAGTATGTCATTTTAAACAAAGATTTTATTATATTCTGTTGCCTCTTACCTACATACATATGTATGTATATGTATTGTTCATTTACTACCATAGTGTTCTAACTCAAAAAATACAAATCATAGTACTTAATTAGCTTCGTCTTGTTGGTTATTAAGTAAATGATAAAGCAGTTAGGTGGGTAGTGCAGTTTCATAAACCAAAGTTCTGGCAACAAATGTTTTGAAATATCTATTCCAAAAGATCCAAATTTCTAGTTAGAACATTATTATAATAAATGAGCGATATGTGAAGTATACATAAAAATATTTATAATTTTATATGTGTGCTTGTGTGTAGTTAAGTTTATAAAATATTGTGCTGACACACAGCATTCTTTTCTTGTACTACTTTTATACAATTTTAAAACAGACACACAAAAATTTGTCAGCTTTTTATATACATACAAAGTTACGTATATGTGTGTTTTGTTTTCCTTTATAGTCCTTGTTATTTTTTTGTATATCATTTTAACATTCTGATGCTGTCACACTTGACAGCTTATGGCATTTTATGTCTCTCTGTTGCAAACATAACAATGCAACAAATAATGCAAACATATTATAAACAAAATAAAAGATACAGGTTGTTATATCAAAATAAAAACTAACTCTTAAATACTAGAATTTGTGCATTTTTTTATTATTATCCTATTTATACTTATTATTACAAAATATTATTTTATATACAGTTTATTTTATACATGCAAAGAGGAGTCAATCACAAACAGTGACACAAGCATTCACTTACATGGAACTCACACGTGCATAAATTGTGAAATATTATAGTGTAAATGATAGAATATAAAGAGATCCTTAGTAAAGTATTTATAAGTTTGTGATATCTTTATTAAGGCTCTTTAGTAGTTAGTGTAAAATATGCATAAAGGCAATACTTGTACAGTATTGTTTAAAACCTTAAAATCTAATATAAAACGAAATTTAAATAGAATATAAACTTCATTATGAATGTTGCTTAGGTTTCGATCAATACTGTAGTTATAGTGTAAAAGTAATTTTAATTAAATTTATGAGCAAGTGCTTGTAATTAGGATAGGATTATTTAAAGGTGTCTCTCAGGCTGCACAGTGGTTTAAAAGCTGCTTTGTTACTACTAGTACGTAGACTAAACTATACACAAATTAATAGACTCG